CTCTCTGTCTTCAATCTGTAAAAATGGAAGTAATAGCACCTACCTCACAAGAACACTGTGAGAATTAGCTGAATGAATATAGTAAGGGCTTAAACAAATGCCTGGCACATGGTAAGCACTCAAATCTTAGCTTGTTATTCAAAAAAATTTTTTTCATAAATTATTATGGTTTCAATCTTTGCCATTAACTTTGTTAGAGAATATAATCTACCAATTACATTCTGATAACATGGCTATACTTCAAAGATTAAAACATACTTACCTAAGAAAAATTAGAAGGTATAAATATCTCATTATGCAGTAACGTCTTAATTTATATAAGGGGTGGGCTTACAGTTGGTAGTACACAAAACATAGAGAATATTTTGGCATTATTATTTATTAATATTGTATTATTAACAACCTACTTTTGCCCACCCCTGTATAATCACAAAGCAATACTGAGAATATAAAATAAAGATCCAAATATCTTAATGACAATTACTTTATATATTTTTTCAATCTATAAACACAATTTGTTTGACTAGAAAAGCTTTTAGGAAATACTGGGGAACACTGGAAAGTTTTATATATTTGCTAACTCAATTCAAACTTTACACTATGAAATGGATTCTGATGACAGACCCCATTTCCAAGTCAGCTACCACCAGTATGGCTTTAATACTCAGCATGTGATGAGAGATGAAACCAAGTGTGAACAACTTTCAGGTCCCATGAGTAGACTGACTGTTAAAGCTGTCAGGTTCAATTGCATCATTCCACATTATTCAATGCCCCAAACTGCTCCCTAATTGTTAGGAGCTTAACGTATTCAAAACCATTGTTTGGCTAATGTTGAAATGCCCTACCATTGAGTTTCTAATAAAGTAGTGGGGGGGATTAAATTGTAGTTAAATCATCAATGAACATTCACAACTGGACAACAGGACTACACAGAATAACCAACCAATTCTAAGGCTGACTAATTGGTTAATATCTAGTCAGTGTACGACCTATCTTCAGGGGTAAAATTAAGTCCCTGGTACTACAGTGGCTACTGAAATAATTTAAGAAATGAAAAAGACATTAGTCAACAGCTGAACCTAAAATGGCTGAAATTCATATATCTGTTAACATGCTATTATGAGTTTTTAAAGAAAAATTTAATACTATTTTTAGCAAAGGAAGGGCATCAATACGGTACTTCTCACTGGTAACCAAGCTATTTCTGTAACAACTAAAATTAATGATGTCCTATAACAATTATAACATCAGTGTAAAAACCATTAATTCCAAAGTACATGACAGTCTGTAAAGTACTTATTTTCATTTGAACTTCATAACATGCCACATACAGCAGGTAGAACTGATATTTAAAGTTTTCATTTTGTGTATGAAAAAAATGATGCCCACAAACTTAAAAGACCTGTCTATGGCTACACTAGTGAGTAGCAAAGCTCCTGGAACCCAGGATTTCTGATTCACTGTTAACTTCCTTAAAATTATGTCATTATAAAATTATTTATTGAAACTTTCATTCTCAGCAACCAAATCAGGTGAATTTGCCTGGGAAACTGAACCATTTTCTCAAGTAGGATGGAAATGTCATATCAGACATCATTTGAACGAAAATCAAGAGCTACATCTAAGACAACTCCCCCCAACACACACACATACACCCCCACCGCCTGCAAAGTTATGCTACTGGAAAACAAAATATTCAAAGCTGACTGAAGTAAAAGTCTCATAGAAATGTACAAAGCATTAGTCACTAAATTGTGCCTTTAAAATACTTAAGTATCTTCATTTACTAAATATCACATCAACCTTGGAAATTCCTTTAATTCAATTATTTAAATCTATCATTTTTATAACAGTAAGACAATAAATAATGAACCATGATTATCTACATGTAGACTGTATCCAAAAGAATGCAAATATATTAGAATACAATTTTTTTCCTTTATATTCAGCCTTAAATTCTTCTATTAAACGAATCATCTTTAAAACAAAAGCACTTAAAGTCTCCCAAAGACTGAACAGAATGAATATAGAACTAGGAAACAGAAGGGAATTTGAAAGGCAAAATGGAAAATTAATGGCACACCTACAGAAACTAATTTATAGCTATACTCATTATACAACAAGGGCAGAACACATCATTAAAAAAAAAAATCACACAGTAGTTATATCTTCCACTAATGTATAGGAACTATAACTGTAACTATATTGCTGATATCTGTGAAAGAATTATTCTAAAAACAAGCATATCAAACAAAACATAATGATTTAACATTGGAAAAAAATAAAGCTGAGTTATCCAACATTTGTGAAAGATTTTTTCAAATTAGGGTTGCTAAGCATCAGATTCTCCCTCCCTACGCCCTTAACACAAAACTTTACAAACATCTTTCTTTTTCTTTTTTTTTTTTTCAAATTAAAGGCACAAATCTATTTCCAGTTTTAATTTATACTAGCTTTCTAATCTTACCTCCCTGACTACTTTGCAGGGAACAATTCTTGAGACAGCAAATAATCCAAACAAGAAGCCTATCTATCTTACTTAAAACCAAGGTCAGAAAGATCAAGAATGACCTCTGAATTTTTATCCTGCTGACACCAAGCCAATCACCAAAAACTATTACTTTCATTAAGTTTTTTCAGAGGAAGGAGAGGGGGCAAAATGTTATTCAAGTTTAACATTTCTATTCTCTGATTTATATACTTTTAAAATATTTGCCTGCTAGTGTCATGGTTTTCTTAATAACTATAACAAGACTTCTTTAATTACTTTTTAAATATTGATCATTTGAATTTACCTTATAGCATTGCTCTCTTAATTTTAAATCAACTACCTATAAAGAAACCCTAAATAAAATGCTAGATGTGATTATCTAAACATAATGACTTCCATGATTAGAAAATAAGCAGGGCCTACGGGAAAGTTAAACCAGAAATAAACTTTCGTCATTTTGAAAAGAAAATTCGATTACCAGGTGCACCACAATGCTAAGAGTTCTATCTAAATATTCAATTTATTCTAAACATTTTTGTATCCTTTCCCTTGCACATTGCCTAGAAAATTCACTTTTTGCACATTCAATACCAATACTATTGTCTCAGACAGCTAAATTGAAGCAGTTCTGCTCTCAGTTCAATTGAGAGGTCAACGTGCCTCAGTTGCCTGGAGACTGATGGTTGCTACAGCAGCACTAGATAAGCCAGGCTAAATAAGCTCCAGCTTGAAGACAGAAAGCCTTTACGGCTGGACAGAAACACAGATGCAGTTGTCTCAGCATGCAGCATTTGAGTCTAACTGGATGATCGTGTTTATAAAAGACTCATCTTACTGAAACATGGAAAGAGGATAAACCGTAAAGATTTTAATTGGACTGAATCCTGGATTACTTGCAACTATGATTTCTTTGTTCTTTAGTTGAGTCATATGTTGAGTGGAATTTTCCCTCTAGCTATAAATTTCGCTTTACCACCACTTCCCCCATCAACCTCCCTAACACCAACCCCTAAAACCACACACATAATAAATGAGAAGAAATGAGATTTTTGCTTAAATCAGCCTGGAATTAACCAGAGAGTAATTAAAAAAGACTTTTATGAAGAAAGAAAAGAAAAATGTGCATTGGAAATGTTCATGTGAGACTTTTGTCCAAGAATATAAAGCTATCAATGCATATGGCTACCTTTAATTAAAATTAAAAGAGATAAAATAAAAACAGATAAAACTATTTGTCCTTTCACTCTCTTAAACCTCAAGCCCCTATTATTATGGCTACTTCACTCAGGGTAATGAAATAAGCTAAAGAACAACTCTTCCTAAACCAGTCACACTCCTTTTATTCAGGCTGAGAGGTTCACCAAATAGTTAACTTTCATTTTGAAAGATAATACCACTAATCACGCCATCGATTTTCTGTTCTGAATTGTCTGTTGTTTATTCTAATACTTAACCTAATTATAATGATGATTGTTTATACTGCACCATTATGTACTTTGAAAATAACAATGCTGTGCTTTGATGTTAGAGAAAATACTTGGAAAAGTGAATACATTCTGAAGGCCCTACAACAGAAATTATGAATATATACATAAAGCGTAAGTTTACAGCAACTTACAAATAACTACTTAACTAGTTATTTGTAATTAGACATTTATCACTGTTAAAATTTTATCAAAATGTTAACACACTACTAGGGCTTTGAATAAAATGAAAATAAGAATAAAAATATCAAGAATTCCAAATAAAGTAAAAAATACGTACTTTAGGAATTTTAAATTATTTCCTTTACGGAAATGTGGGGGTGGAGGTAGGCTGGTGTACGGGTGTGTATGTATATGTGTATGTGCACAGCTTTGCCCATTTACTGTCCTTTTTATGTATTTCAAAATCATGATTTTTCTGATTTGACTCTTGCTTAAATCATTCCTGCAGACTACGTAACCTATCCAATTACAGATCTAAAGTGGAGGAAAAGGACAAAAAAATGCAAAACCAACCACACAGTAACCATTATTTATAATATTTAGGAACATTCCCCTTCTCTCCTACTAGGAGGAAAGCTGCATTGTACTTAAAGGGATCATTCACTCTTTATATTCTCCTACACTGGTTTATAAAAACTTAGCAGATATTCAAACATTATTTGTGTGGTTTTTGAAATTATAAAATAATTTTTTAAAATCACAAGTCCAACATTGGTTCGTAGTTCTTTTAAAAAGTCCACCTTTTATTGATAAAAAAGAAAGAATAAAAGCTCTCCCCAAAATTACTATTTTACACTGTTAGAAAAAAATTTAGAAACTCAGAAATTTAAAATAATCAGTTGGTGCCTTTGTCTTCTCTCATGAGTATCATGTAAAAATGTCTATGGCATCCACTAACATGTCAATACAAATTGAGATGTTTTATAAATTCCTGTAAGAAGCACTATTTCATTTCTTTCTCCTCCAATCAAACTCCTTTCAAAACTGATAACCCATCTTCATATTACTTTATAATGTACCTGAGTTGTAGCAACAGCAGGGGTTGCAGATGATGCTGCTGATGGGGACAGAGCTCCCACTTGTTGCAAATGCCCAGAAGACTGCTGAGGTAAATGAGAACTGGAAACAGGAGTACTAGATCCTGAGCCAGACACTACATTTGGAAATGATGCTGCTACATCATTGTTGTTATAAATACCTGAAAGAAAAGAAATTTTATAACTTAGCAGTCAAATTTGTCAGACACACCATATCAATCAATAAGTCAGAAGACCCACATTTTCTTCTGATCCCTCCCCCACTGACAAATTTTACTGGTGCTGGTAAAAAAAAAAAAAAAAAGTGCCAATAACTAACTAACTAAATACTGATTTTCATAAAATACTTGGCCTAAAATAATCTGTCTCTTTATATATCAAAAAAATGGCTTTGCTAATAGAGAGGGACCACATCAGGAAGTGCTTTGTAAAAGTAATAACAAGGGTTTTAGGAATTCCTAAGAGCAATGAAATATTTCTTAAGTACAAAAATAAAGCAATTAGAGTTGCAAAGAAAGCACCAGGTTAGCTTTTCATGCAGCTACTGGGACCTCAGAACTCATGATTGAGAAGAGTTGAAATGGGAACAGACTTTTATTTTATAAAGGTCACCCACACTACAATGTAGAAAATAGAGTAGGACTAGACTTGAGGTTCAGAGACCAATAAAGAGGCTGATGACACTGAAGGACACGGCTGTGAAAATAATGAATATAGGTACATTCTAGAGCATTCAGGAGGTAAACGAGAATGAATGACTAAATGGAGTGTACAAGTGGGGGTCTGGAGGGGGATAGAGGAGTAAGATAATCATGATGTGAACTACTAGGTGGTAGTATCAGTCTCTTCAAGGAACAAGGACACAGTGGCACCATGGTAAAAACTAGAAAGGGGGAAATGATAGAGTGGAAGCAATTCATTCTTAAAAAGTAGATGGGAAGCAGATGGAGAGGGATAATGAGAAAAAGTGAAAGAAAACAAGGAGTTAATGAAAAAAAAAGTTTTTCTGTTTTGTTTTGTTTTGTTTTGAAGGATGGGAGATCTTGGGTGTATGCTGATAACGAAGAGCCCACAGAGAAAGGGAGGTTCTTTGAAGATCAAGGTTGGAGTCAGGATTATCTATCACTCAGCAGAGTTCTCAACCAGACATGATTTTGCTCCAAATAAGACATCTGACAATGTCTGGAGACATTTCTGGTTGTTAAACTAGGAAGTGCTACTGATACCCAGTAGGGAGAGGCAATCGATACTGCTGAACATCTTGGAATGCCCAAGACAACTCCATGCAACTAAGAATTATCTGGTCCTCAATGTCCACAGTATAGAAGCTGAGAAATCCTGTTTTAACTAAGACTGTTGGGAGGGTGGGAAGAAATAAAATCCTAAGAACTTGACACTGTAACTAGAGGAAAGCAGGAAAAAAATTACCATAAAAGTAGGTTGCAGTTAAAAAATCTTTTTGAGAAACTACAGCCCTCGAAGGCAACAAGTTTTTATATCAACAGTATAATTTACTTTGTTCTAAAGAATATAAACATTGATTCATAATAAATAAAAGCACCTACAATCTTCAAACCAGGGGAATAAAAGAATTGGGACATCATAAAGGCCTTACAACTATAATTGAAGCTTCTAAGATATCTACAATTTCTCCAGAAAAAAAAACCCATAATTTATTCATTCAACAAATACATCCATTACACAAACATCTGAGAGCTCGCTGTTTGCCAGACATTATTCTAAACCCTGGAGATACAAAACCATTCAAGATATGTGGTCTCCACTTTCAAGAAGCTTAGCAGAAAAAAAGATACAATTACAAAAGACTGTGAAGAGTGACAAAAACATCCTCAGGGGGCTATGAGTGCAAATAAAAGGGAATCTCTCCCAGACCTGGAGTGAGAGGGAGGGGGGTGGGGGGGGTCAAAAAAACTTACTGGAAGAGATAAGTGTTAAAGTTAATTTCCAAAGGAGCCACAGAACAGAGGCACAGGCTGGTTTCAGGAAGAAACATATATCGGAGAGCAAGGTAAACTCTAAGAACTTAAAAGTAGCATCTGAATACATTAAGCAAGAAATTAGCCCTGCTCCCCCCCCCCCCAAAAGCAGGATTTAGAGCAGGAGGAACATTTAAAGTTAAACAAAATTTAGAGACAATAGGAAACCACAGAAGGATTGTAAGCAGCTTTGTGTGGTCAGCCCTGCGTGGTGTGGCTCAGTGGATGGAGTGCCAGTCATTAAACCGAAGGGTCACCAGTTGAAGTCCCTGTCTGGGCACATGCCTATGGGTTGCAGACCAGGTTCCCCGTTAGGGGGCGCACACATTGATGTTTCTCTCCCTCTCTTTCTCCCTCCTTCCCCCTCCCCCCAAATAAGTAAGTAAATAAATAAATAAGCTTTGTGTGACCAGATTGGTGTTTAAGCAAATCATAAATCTATGGCATAGGCAGAGACTAGACTGTGCAGGATATTTAAATTAAGACCAAGACAGCTATTAAGGGTTGCTACAATAATACAGATGAGCAAGAAATAGAGATTAATAAGGTAAAAACAGTAGAGAGACATTACAGAGACAAAGTTCATTGAACTGGTAACTAATTAGACCTGAAAATATAATATGTTTCTTAAGTACCAGTAAGTGGACAGGAGAGCGGTGATACCAATCACTGAAGCAGGAGTAGCAATTGAGAATATCCAGTATTTGGCTACTATGTATAGGTCACTAGCATAATAGCCCAATGAGGTAAATATCACTCTCACTTCACACAACAGAAACAGAAGTTGACAGAACTAAAGTAACTTGTGGCATTTGCAGCTCACTGAGATTTGGCTGATGAGGGTTGGGGGTCAGGTAGTAAGGAGGTTTCCATATCATAACTCACACAAAGCAGACTGTCAGCAAATCAACCAGTGGTAAAGCAATGAAGAAGCGGCTGGCTACCAAAGCCACTCACAAGGGGTTCCCTCTACTGGAGGGGTGAAGAAACCTCATGCTACAGGCTTGGTATCATGGCACTCCATGAAATTCTGATTTGCAAACTTCCCTTTCAGCATCTTGTGCAAAAAATTCCTTAGGACTTCAAAACAGATCGACATTTCCAGAGTGCAGCTATCTGTGCTTTGCAGAAAGCAAGTGAGGTCCAAAGTGGTTGGCCTTTTGAAGACACCAACAATTATGCAAACATGCCACATACGTAGAGAATGCGCTTAAGAATCCACTAAGGTGGGAAATATTTCATTCTTACTTTTTTTTTTCTTTTTCCTGTTATTGGTAGTTCTAAACATTAAGTATTTTTTCCAAGGGGTCAAAAGATATGTAAGTACAAGGGGATTATAGGTGGAAAATAGGGGAGAGAAGTAATTAACTGGCAGATTTTTTACTTTCATTTTTAAAATACTAATACAGAACTTCTGGTCAAGATGGTGGCATAGGTAAATATGGCTCACCTCCACAGACGACCACATCAAAAACACAACTAAAATATACCATATTTTGCTGTGTATAATGTGCTCCTGTGTATAATGTGTGCCCACGTTTTTGGCCCAAACTTTGAGGGAAAAAAATCTTCTGTTTTAATTTTATCTATCTGTCTATCTATCTATCTATCTATCTATTTATATTTAGATACTTGTTTTTTATATTATAAAGGAATTAGCATTTATTTCTGTATGTATTATGACACAAAGAATCTTATGTAAATTACAAAACACAACAGATACAAGGTATTTCAGGTACTTCCCATTTTGAGGGAAAAATAAGGATGTACAATGCACATCCTTATTTTTCCCTCAAAAATTTGGGCAAAAGAGTGTGCATTATACACAGCAAAATATGGTAGAACAACCATCACTTAGAACCATCAAAAACCGAGTTGAATGGAACTCTGACAACTACGGGATTAAAGAAACCACATCCATCCAGACTGGTACAAAGGGCGAAGACACCGAACATTACATGAGGTGGAAAAAAATTTGGGAGGGGTATCTCAGAAGCGAGGAGTCCTAGACCCTCACCAGGCCCCCCAGCACAGGTTTCCAGTACCAGAAAGATAAGTCCCCATAACCTCTAACTGCAAAAACTAGTGGGAATTGAATTGGTATTAGAAACTTTTGGAGTTGATGGAGCTCCATCAACCTGGCTATCACTGTTTGTCCCTACCTGGAGATCCCCTGACTCTGTCCCACCCAATATACAGGCCCATTCAGGCTGTGAACTGGGAGTTTTCCATGCCAATGGCTGGTCTTGGCTCATGCTTCACAACTTCCTAAATCCTCTCAAACAATCAAAGCTGCCTCAGTGAGCCCTCAGCCTCCATACCTATTGCTAAGTGGCTCCAGGCCCAGCACTAGCATCAGCCAGCCCAGATTCACAGTTTGGCTTTGCCTGGGATTATCCAAGCCCAGCACAAGTAGCAGCCATCTCAGATTGCTCTACAGTCCAGAGAGGGTGGTCCCAGGCAAAACACAGGTCGGGGCTGACCTTGACCTGTACCACCTGGGAAACCCCAGGGCCAGCACACCCAGTGGACAATTACAGACCACGTCAGAGTACCACCACCCTGCCCCTGCACAGCTGATCCTCCACAAAGGGTGGAGGTGGGTGATCAGTGGTCAGGGTCAGTCCTTGCAGCAGACTGGCCTGAGAAAATCCCTCCTATTGACCTGCCAACACCAGTCAAGGCTCAACTACAAGGCTCACACAGAGGGCACACCTCAAGTACTCCACTTGGGTGATGGGGAGGCTATGCTACTGGACCCTACAGGACACCTACTATATCAGGCCATGCTACCAAGACAGGGGTGTCCTAACAGCTCTACCTCATACATAGACACAAACACAGGGAGGCTGCCAAAATAAGAAGACAAAGAAACATGGCCCAAATGAGAGAACAGATCAAAGCTCCAGAAAAAGAACTAAACAAAATGGAGATAAGTAATGTATCAAATGCAGAGTTCAAAACACTGGTTAGAAGGTTGCTCAAGGAACTTAGTGAGGACCTCAACAGCATACTAAATTAAAGATCCAGTCAGAAATGAAGGATACACAAATTGAAATAAAGAACAATTTACTATGAAAAACAGTAAAGTGGATGAAGACAAGAATCAAATCAATGATTTGGAACATATGGAAACAAAAACAACCAATCAGAAAAAGAAGAAG